CCCTCTCTTCTTTTTCCATGTACACAAAGGAGGTTTGCATCTGGTTAAAAATATGATATGGGTTTAATGGGGAGCATGTTTACTACAGCGAGCACTCCCAGAAATCTTCTGGAAAACGTTGTCTTTTTGCGTGTGCTAGTAAATTGAAACTTAGCAGCTTGCCATAACAATCCTGAGGCCTGAATTTGGAGATTTACGGAAGAAGAAAAATTGGTTTTCAAAAGCACTGAAAGAAATTAAATTGTAAATAGAGCTAAGATCTTTGAGAAGCACTGGAAGCCTATTGCGCAAGTTAATTGATAGGAGGAACATAAATGCAATTCTGGTGTTGGCTAGTTACCTGACATAGACTGTTGCCCTTAATCAGGATCATTTGAGTTCTATTCTCACATTTAGAAGTCATGCCTCTTCAACCTGAATAGTTCTAGTATCTTATCATTTTAACCCTTGCAACTGTTGGGTTAGGTAACTGTCATTCACTTTCTACTTTTGTTCCTGTCATATTCTTGAAATATTTATTGGCTTTTGAGTTTAAATCTGGAGTAGCTCTTGAAGTAACCATTTCATATATTAGATGACTATACTTGGGGGAAATTCTGTTGCTGAACTATGTTCTAATGGGGCATTGTTGGAATTACGGTTGTGATTGTGTTATCATTATCTTGATGGACAGATAAGAAGCTTATCAGTTTGTATATTTATAATTGTGGATTTATAAACATACTACTTGCATCTGACCTGCCTGGCCCCATCAGCAATGTCTATATGTAAAAATGAGACTAATAATTTGCAGCACTCTCCCGTGTCTTTTGGAATCTCGTTAGGAGAAAATGTTCAATTAGTTTAAAAGGATTTTGTTTTGGGAGTGGTTATTGCTGTTTGTGAGCAGGGGAGAGGTGGTGAGGGAAACATGTGCTCTGAGGAAGTGGTTGGGATTTTATTCTACCAGTGGAGAGATTCAGTAGGGTTTGGTTTTTTGTTGGTGGGTTGGTTGGGTTTTTTTTGCTTAAATTGCTATCAGTATTATTATTGTTATATCTATGTAAACAATATGTTTGGGAGAGCGTCCTATTTTTGCAGGTAGTTTGTCTTGCGCGTATTTTGGTCTCCTCTGCTCAAACTGATGAGACAAAGGAATAAATGCTCAAAAAGGAAAAAGAAAAAAGCGGGATTGTATTCAGTTAAAACTGACACTTTAAAGTTAATAAGATCTCTGTTAATAAAGTTGAGGAATGAGGAAAGGAAAAAGTTCACCTGTTCTCACTGGCCGCTGCAGTGTTAGGTGACCATATTTCCCCTGTCCCTGTGTCCCCTTGCACCTCCTCTCCCCACCCACCCCCAATCTCATCTTATTTCTGTCTCATCATCAGAAATATCGTGACACAGACCTTGAACCAACTTTGTATTTAGCACGGGAAATCTCAGGGGAGCTGAGCAATTGGCTAACTTCTCATTCTGGCCCAGTATTCCCACATATAATGATCTGCAGTGAGACCACAAAAGTTACATCCCTCTAGACAGTGTGGTGGGTTTTTTCCCCCTCCTTGTTTTCACCTGCTAAATGGTATTTTCTGCTTTGCAGCTGTCATGTCATATCCCAAGGCCACGAGCACTTAGAAAACTCAAACAAGCAGTAATACATCTGTGAATAGCATGAGGTCTTAAGAGCCGCATCTTTTTCGTTCTGGAATTTCAAAATGGAAGTCACAACTATGAAAGTACTATCCTAGTCTTTAGCTGTAACCCCTGAGGAACACCACTCATCACTGGTCTCCACTTGGACATGGAGTTGTTGACCAGGACTCTTTTAGTGCGGCAATGTAGCCAATTCCTTATCCACCGAGTGGTCCATCCATGAAATCCATGTCTCTCCAGTTTAGAGACCAGGACGTTGTGCAGGACAGAGTCACATGCTTTGCACAAGCCCAGATAGATGATGTCAGTTGCTCTTCCCTTATCCATCAGCATTGTAACCCTGCCATAGAAGTCCACGAGTTTTGTCAGGCACGATTTGCCCTTCGTGAAACCATATTGGTTGTCACCGACCACCTCCTTATTTTCCATGTGCCTTAGCAGTTTCCAGGAGGATCTGCTCCATGATCTTTCCAGGCACAGAGGTGAGACTGACTGGCCTGTAGTTTGCCAGGTCTTCCTTTTCTCCCTTTTTAAAAATGGGGGTTATGTTTCCAGCAGGAACTTCAATGGACTGCCACAGCTTCTCAAATATGATGGAAAGTGGCTTAGCAACTTTATCCACCAGTTCCCTCAGGACCCGTGGATGCATCTCATCAGATCCCATGGACTTGTGCACCTTCAGGTTTCTTAGATGGTCTCAAACCTGATCTTCTGCTACAGTGGGTGGTTCTTTGTTCTCCCAGTCACTGCCTTTGCCTTCTGCGACTTGGGCAGTGTGGCTAGAGCACTTTCCAGTGAAGACTGAGGTAAAAAAAGTCATTGATCCAGCCTCATGAAAATGAGTTGGAAAGATGCTTTGTGGCACTCTACTTATCTCTGCTACCACAGTCTGGGGCCACTAAAGGAACTGAGGTGGAGGGGAACTAGTGACTAAGCAAGGGATGTACGTACAGTCTAGGGGAAAGCATGGGGTTGAACCTGGACTTCCGTGTCCTAGATTGACACTGTAAAAGCATAGTCCTTGTGGAAATACGAGGTTCACAGATTTGCAGAATCATTGAGGTTGGAAGAGACCTCTTGAGATCATATAGTTCAACTCCCTGCTCAAAGCAGGTTCCTCTAGAGCAAGTTCCTCAGGTCCATGCCCAGTTGGGTTTTGTATATCTCCATGGATGGAAACTGCACAACCTCTCTGGGTGACCTGCTCCAGGATTCACCTTGAACCTAGTGTGCTAGCATGCAAGTGGCAGTTGCTGAGGTGACTTGCAGAGAATGTTATTTTTTAATTCAGTATAGATAGTGATCTCTCCTTGGAAGGAAGTGGGACTCTCTTCTGGAAACAAAACAAAACAAACAAAAAAAACCCCCCAAAACAAAACGAAAAAAACCCAAACCACACACACGCAAGCTTTAGGAGATATTTTAGCATTTATTTTAATGGATTCTTTTTTGGAAGCAGTAGTCTGGCCAGGGCTGTGACTTCCTCTTTTTCCTGTTCTCTGTTATTTTTGAGTGCAAGCTCTAAAAGAGCTAGTCATTCTGAAACCTTCACTTCTGAGTCTTTTTAAAAAGACTTGAAAAAATAAAGTTTGCATTCCCAACTCGTGTCCCGCATAGCTGGCAGGTCTGTCTTGAAATAAATCACTGAATAGATGTTTTGTTAGAACAGTTGAGTTCTTTCAGCAGCTGTATTGCTTTGATTACTTATCTGTGAAGAATTGCTTCTGAAATAAAAGTGCTCTAGATCAGGTTCTGTAGTGCTTGGTGAAAGATTAGGAGCATTATTTCATGAAAATTTCATTTTTAGCAGGGTATTGTATGGTTGAAGCTGCATCAGCCGTCTTTAAGCTTTAACTGCATGAAAAATAACTAAATTCTGTGAAGCCGTCTTGAAAAACTGTGATCCTACAGCCTCAGAATTCAAGATCTGACTTCTTAAATTGTGCTTAGGATGGTAATAGATAATCACTGTGACTAGGCATTAACTAACCTTTTTACATTACAATTTTAGTTTGAAGATTAAAAGCTTTTAAAATTCCCTGCCTTTCTTACAAGTAACAATCTAAACTGAAGGAGTTTAAACCAAAACTGAGGTAAATGTGCTACTCACTTGGTGCTCTACCTAGTTAGCGTTCGCATCTACAACTCAGCTGCCTTTGCTGGTTTAAGTGACTTACAGGTTTTTTGGTAATGGTTGAACTTCAGATATTGCTGACCCTGGCATTCATTTCTTTAACCGCTTCCACATGGCTTTTTTCTGTTATTTTAAAATTTTCTTGTTATTAGATTCTTAAATTTAACTCCAAATCTAAAATTTCTACAAAAAAAGTAGTCCTTGTGGGGTTCCCCTAGAAGAGGGAACTCCCGCATGAGCCAAGCTGCGACTCCTGAATTTCTCTCTCTCTTAACAGTCTTTTTTGAAGTATGGGAAGTATTCCCTCAGGACACTCCAAACAGTATAAAACCCTTTAGCTATGATATTTTCATCCCAGCATGTAATCTAAATCATTTATGTGTAATTTTTTACTATTATATGAGATGCTCTCGATGCTGTGTGCACACCTTTCTGATTTGGGGGGATGTTACAGAACAGATCACGGCACCCTTCTCTTTGCCCTGCATTTCTTTTTATCAAATTCTGTCTGCCTGTCTTAGAAATACTCTTTGAACAGCTGCACGTGTCTTTTGTGAGTAGGAGAGAGGCTCGGCATGACGTAGCGGCTCAGGCACTTGGTTTGGGGCTGTGGGTTTTCTGCTTGGCGCCGGTTCTGACTTGCTGCATGACCTTGGGCACAGCATGTCACCCCTCTGCATCTCCTCCTTCCTTTGACACTCGTCTGCCCATCTCTTCCCTTTAGATGCCACGTTTTTCCAGGCAGGAGCCTCTTCTCCAAATATACGTACACACACTCTTATACAGTGAGTCTCTGATGCCGAGCAATCTGCGTAGGTGGTGTTTCAACAGAAATTGTAGCTGTATTGTTGAGTAGAAAACTAGGTATTTATAATTCAATGCCCAAGCAGGTACCCTGGTTTAAGTTTTTGGAAGTTGTGGAGCATGTACGTTGCGGGAGTGGTGCATACTCAGAGCTTCTCAAAATCAGGCCACCCAGTTAAAGTGCCTGAAAATAGCTTTATAAACATAGCTCTAGGCATTCACCTTTTGAAACTGTGGCCACTACTATCTGTGGCCTATTTTTTGTAGTGGTTTTGGTCAGGGGAGGGGGAA